AAGAGTTTGCTGAGTTCAGGTAAGAAGTCAGCCAGGAACAGCTTGGGATATCACACGTACAGCCGGAGGTATCCGGGACCAACTGGGCCAAGTGAGTGCATTGGACGGGCAGGGAAACAGGTCCAAAGAGGGAAAAGCAGAAGCCTAAGTCCAGAGCAGACAGCGTGGGACCTGGGCTTCGGCCTCAGGTTCCTTCAAGCAAGAGGTGATTTTTTCTGACAAAAGCTTCTAGAACCACAGACACAGAGCATCCCTATAGCCCTTCCTGAAGATGCCCATCAAGACTTCGAGCAGGGTGGCTATGACGTGACTCTAGAACCAGGCTGTGGCTGTAGCACTGCCTAGTTGTGGGATAAGTCACTCCACCCGCACCCTCACCTGTAGAATAGGGGTGACAAGAGTGCCTGCTTCATAGGATCGTAATGACAGTTATGTGAGTTATGTCTTCAAAGCACTGAGCACAGTGCCTGCGTGTCAAAAGTGCCATATCAGCAACTGGGGCACAAAAATAGATGCAGGAAGAGAGTGAAGTGAACAGAGGCCAGTGGCCCGGGCACAGGGTCCCGAGGCTCTGCACTGGTTCTGCTGGGTGAGTGTGAAGCAAGTCCTTTCCCCTCTCTAGCTGGGTTCCTGACTGGTCAGATGCGGGGAGGGGGCTGAACATTTACCGCCCGCTCCCCCTGCGCGATCTGCATACCTTCGGCCTCTCCCAGAGCTACAGTTTCAGAGCTGGGCCCATGTGGGCCGCTGGTGAAACTGGAGCTGGAATGTTGTGCTCCCAGGAAGAAGGGAGCCCCACTGGCTCTGGAAAGGCACGTACTGTTTTGCAAATCAGGTAACAGCTGATCTCAGTGAAGGGACCAATTGTGTGGCTGAGACAGAAAACCCACCGTGTCTCTGGTTTCTTTTCCTTGCCTTGAACTGGCAGAAAAAGGTCTTTGAGAACGTCACTTTGGAAACTCCAGGAGTTAAGAATCCCAGGTCTCAAATGGCTCCCTCCTGCCCTCAGACCCGTCCGCACAGTTGCTCCTCCCCTGCCAGAGGGGGCTTGCGCACGTTTTTTTGAATCCTGTGTGCAGTCTGACTCTCAAACACTGCCGTGTGACTCTAGGCCAGCTGGACAGCAACTGAAGACTCTGATGCCCTGTCCCTCCATGGGCACCAGCAGAGCAGCCTCTTTCTGCTCCTCCCCCGGGCAGCAGAGCTGCCTGTGTGTGAGGTACAGGGGCCTGGGAATTTGCTGCTGAGGGCATGGAGCCTGGTGTTTGGTGTGGGGACCCTGTGAGAGTTTAGGGATGAAACACAGCTCCCAGCTGGGACGTTCGCACAATCCTGAGTGGCCACACTCTCAGTGCGGAGGGGGCTCCCTCCTCCCTCTGAAACTGGGCTCTGATCCCTGTCACTACATGTCCATTTGCAACTACAGCCTCATCTAACCTGGCCCCGTCCAGGGGCTCAGGACAACTCCAATAGCACAAAAGGGCAGACCAGGCCAGCCTGAAGGGCCTGGGCCCCACACTGCTCTTCCTCCTCCTCTTTCTCTGCAGCATGGCAGGAAAGGGACGAGGCCTTTCCTCAGCTTCAGAAAAAGTGGTACACACAGCCAGCTGGGAAGGACATGGACACTTGGGCTCCCACGTGAACCCCTGCTATTTTCCCCCCTAATCCCTGGCACCTGTCAAGCCTCTCCCTTTGGTGCCAGGAGCAGCTCTGAAGACACCAAGCCCACACTGAGTCACTGCCCCTTGAGGGCTCCCAGACCACTGAGAAATGTCTAACTTCTGTCCGCTGTGCCTCCCTCCCATTGCTGAGCCCCACACCACTTTCCAGTTGCCTTTAACCTTGCTCAAAAATCTCAGAGATTCCTTCTCCCCAGGTATCTTCCCGACAGGGCAGCACTCATGGCCTGCTCTGCAGGACAACTTCACTGGGCCTGGAGTTCTTTCTTTGTTTGTTTTTCTTGACTTAGGAAATTCTCGGGCCTGCTTCCAACATCACCTGCCCCATGCAGCCTCCTCCCATAAGAAGCTGGGCTCTCTCTGAGCGAACTTGTCTGTTGCATTTAGGATGCACTTCCCCATACCCTGAGCTCCCACTGGGCAGCATCCCTGCCAAGCTTCCCTGCTGGGACCCAGCACAGGACCTGGGGCTGGGCAGGTACCTGAGCTATGTTTATAGAGTTTATTAGAAGCAGCCACATGTCCCTTTTGTTCTCACTTTTGTTTGTTCTTGTCATTCTATGCGACAGCAATAGAAAGAAAAATTAGAGCAGAATTATTTTGTAGCCAAAAAAAAGCAGATGCTTGATTGTTCCTTGTCTCTACTGCTTGTTTCCCTGAAACAGGCTAATAGGAAGAGGCGAGGCAGGGGAAGGAGGAGGGACCCACAGCTCTCTCCAGCAACGCCACCTTCCAGCAACTTGCATAGCCTTACCAGGAAACTGTTGCCTTCCACCTGAGCAGGGGAAGGTCAGGAAGAGCAAGACAAGGACTCACTGCTAGAAAGAGTTGTCATCCCACCAGTTCTCGGACCCAGCTCCTAAACAAGGGTTCTGAGATATCTGGAAAGAAGCCACTTCATCAAGTCTGGAAATAAGACCAGGTTGTAACCTAATGGAAGCTTAGTCCTGAAAGGGACAACTCCATCATTTCTTAGGTGGAACACCAAAGCTTAAGGAAGGATAGCAAATAAACCAAGGTCACACAGAGTCTCAGAGACAGGACCAGGGCTGGAAGTAGGACATTTAACTCCTAATCTTGTATTTTTTTCTGCTGATGTGTGCTCCCCGTGCCTTAGCAGTGATTATTTGTGGTCTGGTGAAATGCCCTGAAGAACTGTTTTCCCTGTGGATCACTGTCAGATGACAGTCAAGCCATGATTATTTCTTTAAAGGCATGAAATCTCCCATTTTTAATTCAAAAACTATCAAATGGAAATATACTGAATTCAGTAGCATTTACTGTCTCCTTCTCTGTGCCAGGCATGGATCTGGGAACCTGGGATGAAGACCTTTCTAATAGACCCCTGGTAATGTCTTCCTTGGTGTTGCTTGGGGCTCTAGCACTACTGGCCGAACAGCACACAACCCTGCTCTTGATGCTGGGTATTTTGACTGCAGAGGCAAACCCTGAGCATTAAACTTTGTAAATGCAATGATAAAACATGAAATGCAATGATAAAACATCAAAGACTAGACCTTTCTTTCTCAAATGGTGAATTCTACTATCCAGAAGCAATGTCCTCGACAGAACAGTGGAGTAGCCTTTTGAGGGCTCAGTCACAGCACCAGCTAGGCAGTACCCTGCAGGGCTGTGGCAATCTCTAGAAGGCTGCATGTGCCCCGAATCAGGGGCCAGTGTGTGGTGCTGTTTTTCCCATGGCCAGGACTCACAAGTCCAAAAATGCAGGTTGGAAATGGGAGCGGCAGTATGCACCATTACTCCTGGTGACCACTAGCGCAGTTACTGCTTCCAGTTCCCTTCTCTGCTTGTCTAGAAGTCTTAGTTCCAAACAAGGAATGCTTTCTTTTACAGGAGGCCCAGTGACTTTGCCAAATAGGAAATTAAGGCTGTTACCTGGCCACTTGGGTAATACATCCCTCCGAATCAACAGGCAGGAAGGGAGTCACCATCTGGCGGGGCTCACTGACCCTGACTACCTAGGGCAACGTAGACTGTTCTCTGCGACAGAGGTAAAGAAGACTGTGTTTGGAATTCAGAGGCTCCTGTCGGGTGTCTCTGGTGTCATGAGGTCCTGTGATTAAGGCCAATGGAAAACAATATACCCAATCTAGGCAAAGTTATTAAAGGTCCAGATCCTTTTATCCTTTCAAATAAAAGTTTAGGTCACTGTACCAGGTACAGAGCCACAACTAGCTGAGGAGCTTGCTGAAGACAAAGGAAATACAGAATTAATAGTGGAGAAAGAGAGTTATAAATACCAGCTATCTCCACTTGACCAGTTATAGAAATAAAAGCTATCATGGTTGTCATGAAAATTTCCTCTTTGTTTTATGAACATGCTTATGTATACACATGTATAATGTGCCTAGCAAATATCTTCGTGTTTGTGTGTGTAAAATACCTTTGAGTTTTCTTCTTGTTCCCCTATCATGTAGCATAAGCTATCCTGACGTTATATCACAGTACTTCAGTATTGTTAACTTTCCATCATAGTGTTTAAGAAGCAGCATATTGAGAAGAATAAACACCATTCAAAGATTTTACCTCCCTTTCTGGGAAAGGGGCTGGTGTGTTTTCTGTCATACACAGGATGGCTGTATCATGTTGGCAGAATAATGATCTTGTCACTGCCTTTATTTGGAAATTAACTCTGGTTTGAAGAAACAGATATGGTTGGTAAGAGGCAGACTTGTGATGGTTAATTTTATGAGTCAACTTGACTGGATCACAGGTTCCTGGACATTTGGTCAAACATTATTTTGGTTGTATCTGTGAGGGTTTTTGTGGATGAGATTAATATGTGAATCTGTAGACTGAATAAAGCAGATGGCCTCTAATGGGGGTGGGCCCCATCCAATCTGTTCAAGGCCTTAATAGAACAAAAACACTGACCCTTCATGGGTGGGGTGTTTCCCTACTGCCTGGCTGCCTTCAGTTGAGACATGGGTGGTTTTTTGCCCCTGTTTTTGGGCTCCAACTGAAACACTGGCTTTTCCTATGTCTTCAGCTTACCAGTTTTATGATTAGACCGCTACATCATCAGATCCCCTGGTCTCCAGCTTGCCAACTGCAGACCTTTGGACTTGTCAGCCTCCAAAATCATATATATATATTTCTTTCCTACCATTCTATTGGTTCTGTTCTTCTGGAGAGCTGTAATACAACACTTTAAAAAAATCTCTACAAAGACAAAGTTATTCAGTATCATTGGCAGGAAGAAGGCAGTGGCAGCCTTGGCAGGGTACCCTCCCCCACCCCGGGTGGTAATGGTGCTGCCCTGCTCCTGTGACCACATGTTCCCCCTTAGCACCCACTCACATCAGGGTCCAACTCATCCAGCTCATTTTCCAGAGTCCTGAGCTCTTCTTCTGTGAGGGCTCCCAGGATTTCATCTTCATCCAGGTCACGGTACTTCTCTAGCTCTCGTCTGTAGGACATTGTGGAAGGACTTATCTTTGTCTTCTGAGTTTCTGTGCTGATCGATGACCTACCAAGAAGAGAATGATCTTAGAATGGCCCTCCTCAGATTTGTTCTCAAGCAAAAGGGTGCTTGTTATTCACATGGTGACCTGGACATGCTTTACAAATTGCCAGAATGATAATTCCTACAGTGGGATTGTACATCAAGGTAGACTAATTCTATAAAAAAAAGTCCTTAGGGCATGTGCTTTGATGAATTGTGGCTGGCTGTAATGGGCATGACTATGAATTATGAGTAAACTAGTGAGGGTCCACACCTTTCAAAACAGCTCACGCATCCTTCTCCCACTGGGCTTTCCATGGGTAGGGTCCAGGTTTGTATTAGCTCCCTCTCCCCAGGCCCCAACCCTAGGCTGTGTGCACCACAGAAAGTTTCTCATTAACATGAAACCAATTCCTTTGCTGTCTTATCACCAGCTCTGAGGAGGTTCAGGCTCTTCTCCTCTTGGAGAACATGAGCTTGTGCACAGTCTCTATGACCTCTGTGTGTGTCCTTCCTTACACATCTTTCCTTCTACCTGACCTGGGCCACCAGCCTTTCCTTAAATACTGCAGAGTGGAATGTAACACTGTGAATAGAATCAGTGCAATGGGTTGAATTGTGTTTCCTCCCTATATTGACATTCTAACTCCCAGTGCTTTAGTATCCTGGTACCACAATGCAAATAAGAATGTAACTTTAACTGGAAATAAATCCTACAGGGTCACTGCAGATGTAATTAAGTTTAGATGAGGTCATACTGGAGTAGGATGGGCCCCTAATGCAATATAACTGGTGTCCTCAGAGAAAGGGGAAATTTGGACACAAGCATGCACACAAGAATGCTATGTGATGATGCAGACAGAGGTCAGGATGATGTTGCTATGAGCCAGGGAATGCCAAAGACTGTCAGCAACCTGCCAGAACCTGGAAAAGAAGCCATGAACTAATTCTTCCTCATGGCCTTCAGAAGGAAATAACTCTGCTAACACCTTGATCTTGAACTTCTACCCTCCAGAACTGTGAGACAAATTTCAATTGTTTGACCCACTCAATTTGTGGTATTTTGTTACAGTCAGACTAACATACTTATATAACCAGTATTACCTTCTTCGTGGCAGTTTTTTTAGACCTGCATGCAAACAAGCAAGCCAGCCCATGGCTCATCTGTGAAATGACTAATGGACTGTTTCACAGTACAGAAAAATGAAAACTAAGAAAAGACAACTGACCAATTTAAAGCCTTTAATTTGTTAGAAACAATTAAAGTAATCTAAAATAAGTTAAAACCAAAGTTCATTAAACTAACAGAATAACTCTACTTCAGAAAGCTGAGAGTGGATTTTACTAATGTAAGTCTAAGGAGAGGCGCATTTGTAGGAGAAATCTGAATATGTGCAAGCTGGCTTGATAAGGACGAGTTACTTCTCAAGTACAGAAACCCCAGTACCATCCTCTTCTCTAAGTATGGCTTGGCTTGGTCTTATATCTTCCTTTTACCAGACCTAAAGAATACAGTGTTTGTACCATAAACGCACACCCTTTGATTCACTTCCATTTACTTCCAAAGAAAGCATAACCAGCTGACAATGGTCTGGTACAGATGAAAAACCTTCATGAGGCGCCTTGGAAAACAACCTAATTTGGTGTTCCTTAAGTGAAACTAGGAAAGAGAGAGGATCCATCATCTTCATCCTAGGGTCAAGATGGATTCTAATGAAGGGCTCAGAGGCTTCCAGGACCCACTGACAGGGACATCTAGGGTAGTCTCCAAACTACTGTCTCTTAAATGGGCTGCAAAATACAAGAGTTTGGTGCTTGCTACAGTTTGGATATACTTTGTTCCCCAAAGGTTGCTGTGCTGGAAACTTCACCCTCAGTGTAGTGGTGCTGTGATGGTATAACTTTTCAGAGGTGAGACCTGGTGAGAAGTAATTAGGTCACCGGAGGTGCTAAACTCTGGAAGGATTCATGCTGGTCTTGTGGAATGAATTAGTTTTTGCAGAGGGAATTGTTATAAAAAAAAAAAAAAAAAGCAAGACTAGCCCTCTCTGCTCTCCAGCTTCCTGTATTTCCATGCAAGTTCTCTGTATATATATTCCTACCATGAAGCCATCTGCCATGTTGTGATGTAGCTAGGAGGGCCCTCACCAGAGGCCCAACAGATGGGGCTGCCTGACCTTGGATTTTTAACTTCCAAAACTGTGAGCTAAATAAACCTCTTAGAAAATGGACTTAAACAGGCTTTAGGTTCTACCAAGCTACACAACACTTGGGACCACAGGATTTGAAAAGTGGTGTTTTGCTGTGCAACTATGCAATGGATGTTTCTGAGAGGAATAGGTTGCAAGCAGAATTCCTCAATCTTTTTGACAAAACACCATGTCTAAGATGCTGCTCCCAAAATTGGAATCTCTTGAAACAAAGTTTGGAAAACACAGCCATACAGCCACCTCTGGGTCACACCAGGCAGCAACTCAAAACCACACAGAAAGGGACACTGAATGGATGGGACCAGCCAGGGCACAGTTCTGGGGAAGCCAGACAGCTTTGGAATCCTGGGAGCTGCTCACACTTCTTATCTTTGCCAGCGGACTCACTTTCTAGATGATTTGCAATTAAATCTTAGAAAAAGATAAAATCATAGACAAACCTTGGAGCTCTGACAAGTAAGGACAAGGGAATGCGAAGAAGTAAATCCATATCAAATCCAGCTTGGACAGAAGAAGCTGGAGAAGGAGCCAAAGAGAGAGAGAAGTAGGTGGCAACTCTAGGGCTTGCTGAAATGGGGGTGTGGGGACCAGGCGGCCACCCCCAGAAATGCCACCCTGAGAGGGGCAGTCATCCAATTTCCTGAAGAAGTCTCCTCTTATCACATGCAGGAAAGTTAATATATCACTTATGCATTCCCAGGTGCTGTCAAATTTTTAAAATGTCTATTTTATAGGATTTTAAAAACTCCTTGTAGTGTCAAATGTCCTGTGAATATTACAGAGTGATGAAGCATGACATTAAATAAGCTGAGAAGAACTAAGAACTCCTAAGGTAAACTCTAAAGCTGTCAGCTTCAAGCCACACTCATCCAGCTGGCTCACAGGGGCAGCTTCTACACAGAAGTGCTGTGGTCAGTGTTCTAGGGAACTGGAGGTGGGGAAGGGATAGGGCAGAAAAGAGATGAAACCAGCTTGCTAACAGAGCCTACTGCAAATGCGATCTTACAGTAGAGGAGATTGTACTATACAACTGTTCACACAAGGCCTCTGGTTCCTAATAAGAGAGGTGTCAGGGATACAGCACAGGCCTAAGATTTCCAAGACTTCGGTGGAAGGCTAGTTGTGATGGTAATTCCTCAGATGACACTTGCTAAATTCCTTTTTTCTTCTGAGCCTCCACTTATTCATCTGTAAAATGACAGATTTGGATTGCGTGGCTGGTTTTTAAACCATGTCCAAAGAAGATCTCTGTGAAGGTTTCCCCAAACTCCTGAAGGGACTTAAGGGGTAAATGAAAGGCTCACCTTTGATTTTACCTAATTTTTTTTAATTCTCTATAAGATTTTCCCTGAGGAGAGGATTCTACTGCTCAAATAAGTTGAAAATCACTGGACTGCCTTTCTTGTCTGTGTAGAGAGAGCGTAGCAGTGGTCACCCCATAGGATGTTACAAGGACTGAGTGTTAACAAGCCATGGGGGAGCAGCCTGGGTGCATATGGGCTCAGTGCACGACAGCTATTCTAGTGAAGCTGCTGCTGCTGCTGGAGGGTCTACTGCTCCTCCACTTTCCCTCACACATACACTGTCATCAGACTGTAAGGCCTCTCCGGGAGGACTATGTCTTATATGTCTTCAGGTTTCCAGGGCCTAGACCTGTGCCTGGCCCAAAGGTGCCATCTGAGGAACAGGGCATGAACACACCTGGGTTCTGGCCTGCCACCCCTGAAACCCTGGACAAGCCCTTTCTTCTGATTCTGTTTATTCCTGTCTATTTTTAAATTTTTTATTAGCATATTCACCATGGGGTATTGGTTTATGCGCATATTACGTCTCGATCCTCTTACTTATCCATCTTTAACATGGCAAGATTGGATCAAGCCTTGGAGGGGTGGAGAGCTGGGAATCCCAGAGTGGAGGGACAGCAGGAAGGAGGTGATCGAGCCGCTGGGGCTCCCAGCATGGCCCTCCCGAAGCAGAACAGCTCCTCTGTTACCCACAGTCAAATAAATTTAAAACACACTCACAAATTTAAGTCTTCTAAATCTTGTGTCTATCTTACACTTATAACCTATCCAGCCGACCTTGCTTCTCCATGGCAAAAGCCTCAAGTCTCTGTTAAACATCAAAAAATAGAATTTACAAGCTGTGCCAGGAAGTAAAACTCGGCAGGCTGGACAGTAAATATTAGTGTGCCAAGGTCCGAGGCCATCTATTAGGAAAGTTGCAGAGGTTTTCTGGAGTCCAGAGTGCTCTTGTACATCTCTCACAGGAAGTAGAGGGGTCACTTCTGCCAGTGGCTCCTCCAGCATTTGCCTGTGTGGGGACACTTGGCAAGGAGGCAACCAGGCGGCATCCATCTTGATTTATGGATTGTATTTCCCCAGGTTCAGGAAGAGCTGAGTCACAAGTTTAAGTGAATAATTTCCAGTTATACCACCTTCTTATTTCAGCCAAGGAACATCTTGAAGATGGGCAAAGAAAGATCAGTTTACAGAATTAATCCTTCATACACCGTTTCCTCATGTATTTATCCTTTTTCTTTTTTCTGAGAGATTCTTTGGTTAAAGGGATATTATGTCATGATCCCTCATCACTAATGTTTACCCCTCTCCTGAATATATCTCTCTCCTTAGCTTCAGGAACACAAGAGCACCTGTAATGTCCCCTGTTCCTCACAAGAGAGCTGTTTCCCTGCCGCTCTCCTTCAAAGGGCACCGCTCAGGCAGCCATAATTTGTATCATATGATACTCCCTCACCCTCTCAGCTCCCAGCTCATTGGACAGAATGGATGCCTGTCTCAAGGGCAGTCAATT